ATAATAACGTGGCGGGTTTTATTTTTGTTGGGTTATATCCGGCTGATTAGGCAATTCTGTTTGCCACATCAGCACTTAACGGACTTCATTAACGGAGTTTGACGGAGACTAACGGCGAGTGATTAAATGCGTCAAGTTTTAGTAATTGTAATGACTAAATTTGATATTAACTTTTTCTAGTGACTAAACATGTCCCGATTTTGTAATCTCAGTGACCAAATGTGTCTTTAACCCTATTTGGAATTGAAATGTGGTATTATAATTTTAATTATCTTATTTGGTTGAAAGAATTATTTGTATGTGGTATTTCACTAGAAAAATAAAAATTACTTCATTGCCTTTTTTTTACAGTACTTCATTGCCTTTGTTCCTGGGCTCCTTTTCCCTATCATCACTACTACCACTGTCTGAAAGCAGAAGAATAGCCTACTCTCAGAATCTACAACAATATATCCTCCAATTTTGCTGATGACGAAAACTATGAACATATGCATGACCACAATATGATTATGCATTCCCCGATTCCTGGCACTACTGATTCCCGCTTGAGAAGCTCCATTCCCGCTTTCGTTTTAGCAATCGAACCAAAAGAATAAGAAGGAGAGGAGGAAGGAGAAGCAGCAGGGTAAGAAGAAGCATCAATCCCAGCAACTCCAATGAACCCATCCAAATTCCCAGCACTTCTAAGCATCAATCCACCTCACCAAACCACCAATTTATCAACCCAAAACCTCAAAAATTCAGTCTTTGCAACTCGATGTAATCAGCGGCGGATCCAGAACACAGAAGAGCATTGGGCCGAGTTTCATTAGAAAATTGAATAGTAAAATAACATAATGATTATAGTTTTTTTCCAATGTAAATTGCACACGACGGTATTTTAATTTAGTGATGCATCAATAATGGAGCCTGCATTCATACCAATAGTATACACTGTTTCAAATAAAATACTCGAGCAATCGGCGAGAAATTCATCGCTCATTTTGTTGAGCAAATCAGTTCTCACATGTTTCATTGTTGAAAAGGTTCACTTCGTAGTAGTTGTTGAAACGAGCAGCATCAACACTAAACAAATCAATCGACTAATCAATTGGCATTGTGTGTCAATCCCTGTATCCACCAACTGCTCTAGTAAGTTTTCAAATGAACAAACCTCGTATTTCTTTTAGTCGTTTACGTTTTTAAACTTTTAGAATTTTAGGTTTCATTGTTTTTTTTAAACGCATAATCTTTGGGGCTAAAATTTAGAAGCTAAATTTAGAGTAGTGATTTGAATATGATCATCTGAATCATTTTTTTAGTTATACCCAATTTTATTATAAAATCACACTAAGCCGAATGCCTAAAATCGAAAAATTCATAAGGACTATACTAACTACGGATCAAGAGAAGGGCTGGGCCGGGGTTCGGGGTGGCCACCCCTGTATCCGCCACTGGATGTAATCACTAGACAAAATCACAGAAATCCGTCCTTGCCGTCATCTCTTGGATGGAAAGCAAACCATGGCGCGAATCTTTTGGACGGCGAGAGCAAAACCATCGTCGCCACTGCGTCATCGTCGCCACCGCAAAGGAAAGGAAAGAGCAAAAGCAAACCAGATCCTTTCGACGATGAGAATCCAGATCTGGATCACCATCGCGCCATGGTGCTTTCTATCTCTTTACCCCTCCATTCGCCGGCGGCGGCGATGCCGGCTAGCGCTTCATCTTCTCTGTTTATCACAAACTATGTTTTCGCCTATGCAATCTGATCTTCATTCAGAGAGGAATCCAAAAGTTCCAGAAGAAAAAACCGCCACTCAATTGATTTTGCTTTTAGGCAAAAGAATCGAAGAAGAAGAAAACATGTAGAAGGAAGGTGAGAGGAGAGAGGTGAGGGTAGGGGTGGCTATACGGTCCAGTCCGGTTAAATTGGTCCAAATTGATCTGGTCCAGTCCGGTCTTTTTGAAAATAAAAGTAGCGAAGATTGGATTGGATACAGTCCGGTCTTGATCCGGTCCGGTTTTTATCCGGTCCAGTCCCAATTCGGTCTTGATTTTACATTGATATTGTGGGATTTGAGTGGCCTAAGGCCTTAAAGGGTGAGGAGTTGGTTAAGTTTTGTACTAAGTGCAAAGGTTTGTGACCGTTTATGCAAATTACCCTTAAGTTTTGGGTGTTGAGCTCTCTTATCCGGTCTTTATCCGATTTTTTACCTCAAATCTAAGCCCAAAGATTGGATTGGATTGTTTACTATCCGGTCCCGGTCCGGTCTCGATCAAGGTTATACGGTCCGGTTTCCGGTTTTTAATCCGGTCCCGGTCTAAATAGCCACCCTTAGGTGAGGGGTAGAATCTATTCACTTTAACTCAAAATGCGTTATTTCAGAATAACTGGGTACCCCCTAGTTATTTAGATTTTAGAATACCACAAAAATCGGTTATTTACAAATAACCCATATCCAAATAACTCATCACCCAATTTTATACCCAAACAAGTTATTCGAGCCCAAATAACTCATTGTGAGTTATTTGAATCCAAATGACTCATTGGAATAACCCATCCAAACGACCCCAAAGTCCATAAGGGGTCCAAATTCATCACCAAATCCTTCATCAAATCCATCAAGCAAACAATGTTATCTTTCAAATACATAATGCAACAAATCCATCATAAATCCAAAGGTTTTCAAAACTCAAAAGCTTCATTTACAAAACAGGGTAAATGCCATATTTGGTTATTGAGATTACTAAATCGTGTCATGTTTAGTCACTAGAAAAATTTAATATCAATTTTGGTCACTCGAATTGCTGGAACTAGTCACATTTAGTCACTCTCCCGTTAGTTTCCATCCAACTCCATTAATGGAGTTCGACGGAAACTAACGGAGAGTGACTAAATGTGACATGTTTCAGTAATTCAAGTGACTAAATGTGACATGTTTCAATAATTCGAGTGACCGGAGTTGGACAGATGCTACTTGAGAGTGACCAAATGTGACATGTTTCAATAATTCGAGTGACCAAAATTGATATTAAATTTTTTTAGTGACTAAACTTGACACGATTTAGTAATCTCAGTGACCAAATGTGGCATTTACCCTTTACAAATCCAACAAGCGAACGAGCAGTGTTTGTGAAATTATACGTATTGGTGGTTGAGGGTAAAAATATCCTATCGGAAGATGGTTATAGAAGTATGAAATAACTGAATCATGGTTCAACTATGATTTTTGTACAAAATATCTGATCACTAATTTTTTCGGTACAACGTTTGGTACGGTTTCACACTATTTAGTGATTCGATGTCCCCCACTTTTAGGTTTACACCCAAAACCTGTACAGTATCAGTGAGAACCCTACTTATGAAGACATTAGTATTTGTTGTTGAATTAGGTTCGACTGATAAGTATAAAACTAACGGTCGTACGTACTTAGTGATGAATGTACCTAAGCACTGTGTCATGCCTCATAAGCTAGCACGGTATGACACGATTAGAGCACGGTACGAGTACGAACACAAAAGTTCAGAGTGGGACATTAGAATATGGGAAGGATGAAGATTCAAGAGACGGGTCTTTTCTTTGGCACACAAAGAGGTGAGTTTATGAGACGGTTCAAACTTGGTTCTCGGTTAACCAATTAAGAACAAGATTGATTGTACTAAGTGGGTGGTAGAGTTGGGAGCCAACAATGTATAGTGGATGATGTGGCCAGTGGCATGCCAAGTATTGCTAATAGAGGAAGAGATGGAAAGAATTAGGAGGTAACCATTTTGTTACGAGTTAACAAACTTAGATGATCTCTTTGTTACATTTCGAAGTTGAGTGATGATTTTGTTACATGTATCATACTTTAGTGACCAGTTAAGTAATCAACCGATCATTTTCTGAATCGCCAACAAAGGTTTTTTTTTTTACAAAAGATAATCTTGCATTAGATCAAAATATAGATAGTTACACGCTGGAAATCAGCCATGTCTGAAAATCAAAATAACGACTCATAGCCGGGTACAAAGAGAGGGCCTTTCTAGCCACCATGTGGACTACCCTATTGTTACGCCGACCTACAAATCGAACACTAATCCCAAGATTGCAGGCAAAATAATGTGTCACTTCTTCAAGAATAGCACCCAACCTGCTGTCCCTCGTATCTGCCCTCCTGATTTTATCAATGACGACCTTGCCATCCCCTTCAAAGCGCACGCTAGTTAATCCCTGGCCTAGACACCAAAGGACCGCGTCACGGAGGACAAGCAATTCCACCACAAGAGGGTCATCAATGACCGAAAACTGAACCCCAGTAGCCATAAGTATGTCCCGGTTAGGGGTCATAAGTACCACGCCTCCAGCTGAATGCGAACCCCTTTTGGTAGCTCCATGCCATCCTCAGATAGCCCCCGGAGACCCTACTGAAGCAGGTTGGTGGTCTGCGGTGCCAGGAGCCTGCAACGACTTATCTACCGGGAGTCTCACCCATTCCTCATACTGTTGCGTAAACTGGCGCATCAACGCAGCAATCTCATACTGTTTGCCCTAAAAAACCACCCAATTACGAGATCGCCAGATTCGCCAGAGGATGGCCACCACAACCATAAACAGAGTGAGTTGCTGGATTAAACCCATAAGTTTTTTTGAGGAATAGAGGAAAAGTGTGACGAGGTAAACCCTCCCCTAACGAAGGTTTCCTCCTTATAACAAAACAATCCAACAAAACAAAATGCAGGACGAATTCGTCAATTTAGAGACTTATTATGAAAGAGAGAGTCGAGAGCATGGTTGTCATGTGGGTGGTTCAACTTGGTTCAACCTGTGTCGGTCATGAAATTGGCATGACACCACTAGTATAACCGACTTATGCATTCTAAGCAAATTGACATCACTTTAATGAATTTAATTAATAAAATAAGTAATATATTATTTATTTTATTAATTTAATAGTTAAAATTTGATGATATTTGTTGGATTGTAACTAAATTGTTCACAAATATATTTTATATATTATTAAATACATTGAATATTAATTATTTTCATATTTTTTAAACCGATATGAACCGGCACAAACTTATTCTACCACCGATCGTGTCATTCCACTTGTCAAACCGGCACGGTATAAACCGGTTTGAAAACCTTCTCTAGAGAGAGGAAACAAGGCAAAGAGATAATATAATATCATAATAATGAAAAGAGTATCAAACCCAAGCATTCATTTCTCCTCTTGTCATCTTCGATAACCTCCAAATTCAGGTCCCCATTACCTCGTCTTAACCCACCCCAATCCCCATCCTTCTTCTTCCCCCGTCTCCTCTCCCTCTCCTGCCATTCATTCCTTCCTCGAACCCCTCATTTCCCTCTGCAACTTTTCCCCCTTCCCTTCTTTAATCTCCCTCCATGAAGCGCTCGCTCGAGGCCGATTCGAGTTTCGAATCGAAGAAAACCAGGCTCCAAGAGGAAGAAACCACCGGAGTTTCACCCGATTCGGGAACAGGGTTCGTGAATTTGGACGAGAATCTGTTGTATGAGGTGCTGAAGCACGCCGATGCGGCGACCTTGGGCCGGGCGGCCTGCGTGAGCAAGCAGTGGCACCGGACCGCCCAGGACGAGCGGCTGTGGGAGCTGATCTGCACCAAGCACTGGGCTAACATCGGCTGCGGCAACACCCAGCTCAGATCCGTGGTCCTTGCCCTCGGCGGGTTCCGCCGCCTTCACTCCCAGTACCTCTGGCCTCTCTCCCAGCCCCAACCCAGAACTTTGGCTTCCGGGTCGTCGTCGTCGTCTTGGGCTCCCTTCCCGCCTATGATCGGAGCGAAGCCGCCGGCGAGGTGGGGGAAAGACGAGGTCCATCTCTCCTTGTCACTGCTCTCAATTCGGTACTATGAGAAGATGAATTTTGGTAACCGTGGCAGATAGACGAGGTCCAGCCCGCCCCAGCGGTTCGGCCACTCTGATTATTATTACTACCCGCCTTAAATATATATAGGAAGAAGAAGAAGATGGGTTCTTTTTTCGTTTTGGCTATTGAAACTCTGAATTTTTAGGGGGTTTTCTTTCTGTCTTTTTTGGGACTTTCGTGGTGAACCATGTGTCCATGTTCCATTTAGAGTATCTGACTAAATTTGCCTTTGAGAATATTTGTACTGTAATTTTTAACCTAGTAACTCTGCTCTTCTGTTGTATTGTAATCAGCGTGACATTTTTATGAAATAAAATGGATTTGGGCTCTGTTCCCCAATTGAAACTGAATGAATGAGTCCAGAGTAGGAGTAGGCTGTAGAAACAACTGCCGTTGGATTTGCGGCCGAACAATTGCTACATATGAAGGATGTGCGCAAAAGACGAATGATTTCTGATCTGCTCATTGACGACTGAAGCGAAGAGGAACAACCGCAGAAGCTGGTTCCGGTACATAGAACTCTTTCATGATCTTTAGCAGGAAAAGGACATATGGGAAATGGGCCCACCAGGAGAGAGTAAGAGGTTTTCACTGCTTCTCCTCAGTAGCTTGGTCAATATGACGGGATAAACGTTCCATGCACCAAAAAAAATGGATAAATACAATTTAATATCCAAACCTTTGATTTTAAACAATATAATAGTCAAATATTTTCGAAAACAATCTAATATCCAAATCGTCAACTTTCCGTTCGTTTGACCGTTAGTTGACACTTCAAAAAAGTTCGAAGTACGATGCTTCATCAATATCCATCGATATCTTCTCTGAAAAACCACCAACATATCGTGGTTCCAAACCCGAGAAGTCCATGACTCCACCATGATGGTATAGAATATCTAAATATTCAGTCATCTGCAATGCCAAAATATGAAAACAAAGTTGTATTGTGACAATTTCCCCTAAACAAAGCTTTTTTGAAGTGCCAACTAACGGTCAAACGGACAAAAAGTTGACGATTTGGATATTAGATTGTTTTCGAAAAGGTTTGGCTATTATATTGTTTAAAATGAAAGGTTTGGATATTAAATTGTATTTACCCAAAAAAGATCACGGGAGAGGGGGATCCGCTGGCAAACTCCTCTTCTAAGGACGATAGGGTCCGAGAGCGTCCCATTCCATGTTATCCACATTCTCTTACTCTCTACACATAACATAATGCAATTGACCCATGAGCTGGGAAGACTTATCTCCATTAGCGTATATTAAAGTAAATCCATCTTAAGTGATTATATGTGATATGATCCCAAATAGTCTACTCTACAAGTTGGAGTTACTTGAAAAGAAGCAAGATCAAGCTGACTGAAGAACATTAATTTTTGGTTAAGTGTTTTCACTATTTCAAGTGGCCTACTTTAGAGGCTTGGTTCTCTCAATTGGCTAAATAAAAATTCAATATTAAGGGCTTGTATTGACTATGGAGTGTTTAGCTACACATTGGTATGCTTGGTTGCTCAAGGAGAAGTCAGGAAGGTTGTTTTCCAAGCTCACCAAAAGCCTATGTCAAAACTAGAAAACTGCCAGAAAATGGTTGAGTCTGGAAACGTGTTTGTGAAGTCTACTTTGGAGCTCCATTCGAGGAGCATGGATATGATTCGAGTCCAAAGGCTTCCACAACATGAAACTAGGTATGTTTGTATCCAAATGGAAGGAATTGGATGAAAGATTGCAGATATGGAAGGCTTCGAACAAAATGCTCAAAGTTAGTACGAAGTCACAAAATTACGCCTTGTAAAAACAAGATTATTTTCCTTATTCGATTACGATTAGTTTGTTGTTTCGTATTAATTGTTGTTTTCATTCTTTTTTCGGGTTGTAACCTAAATAGGAGTTTCTTTTGAGTTGTTGGGTTTAATTAGAGTCTAATTAAGTCGAGTCTATCATTGTAATCTTCAAAGATTGATCAATTGAATTGAAAGCTTCGATTTTGTGCAAGTTTGCAAAGTTGTGTGAGTTTGGTGGATTCCAAACTTGTGAGATTTGTATCGATTGAATAGTCCCTTCAATCGTGGTCGAGCAACTACCCTTCTATACCATACGAGCTTTCCCCAGGTGTGGAATTGTCTGTTGGTTCCGTTTTATCCCAATTTCATATTAAGAACGCGTTGTTCTTGATTTGAATCAATCAACCTTTCGATTGATTGTTTGCTGCGTTACTTTGATAAAATACACCCCCAGGGTCGTATTAAGTGGTATTAGAGCCCCGTTATACACGAGGGCGAAGGAGAAGAAGCAATCAATTACTTCGGTACGAGCAAAATTCTCGAGCAAAATAGGGCAGCTCCTATTCGTACCTTGCAGCTGATGTTTCTTAATTGAATTTCGATGGAAAATTAATTAGAAGTAAAGGAGATGGAAGAAGGTCGTAGAGAGGCCAGGTATCTAAAATTTCGTGGCCAAGAGAAGCGGCCAGCAACTTGATTTCTACATCGAGAATCCGACGAGCAGAGAGACAACTTATTTCACAACAGATACGTTGTCGATGGAAAAATATTACCGCTCGTGATCAATGGATTGATCAATTGAATTGAAAGCTTCGATTTTGTGCAAGTTTGCAAACTTGTGTGAGTTTGGTGGATTCCAAACTTGTGAGATTTGTATCGATTGAATTGTCCCTTCAATCGTGGTCGAGCAACTACCCTTCTATACCATACAAGCTTTCCCGAGGTGTGGAATTGTCTGTTGGTTCCGTTTTATCCCAATTTCGTATTAAGAACGCGTTGTTCTTGATTTGAATTCAATCAATCTTTGGCTTGTCTTTCTATGTGGTGAGATGGAAGAACCAAACGTTAAGGTTTCGGGAGGAAAAGCTACAACAACGGTTGCAAGGGTGGAAAATTAGAGGTTTTTTATTTATATTAAAAAAAAATTTAGTTAAGTATGTGTTTCAGCTCTTATAGCATGCAATATTATTTTTTTCAACTACCAGTAATTTATATCACTCACTAAATCGATACATAGCTCTATTTCAGTGGGGAATGAAGAAGGAAAGCCGAAACTATATTGGGTGGCCTGAAAATCATTATATGAAAGCTAAACAGAAGTAGGAATGATGTTAGGGATCTTGAGGATGTTCCCCAACCTTTTTTTTTGCCAATGTATATTAAAGTCATCTCATCATTTGACTATTATAAATGGTAAGAATTTAAAGTTTAATAGCTTAGAATCATTCTTTATTTTTTTAATCTAGTTAGGACGTCCTTGTTTTATCTTATAAGGCTACAGAGATAAAATTCCCAACAATTAGTTTTCCTCTTCGTTGGAGAAAGTTTTCTTTATGTTTTCATTGCATGTAGTTTGCAACTTATTCCCCATGTTGAACAATTGATCGTATTTAAGTTAACCATCAAAAGTAATACCAACCTTGTAAGCTAGATTAACGAATCCTTGCTACTTGAAAGACAAATCAATCAAAACCATTCGCAAAAGACAAATCAATCAAATACCCGTATATTTCCTTTAAGACCTTTGAATCTCTTTTGTTCCAGGAAACAAAAGAAAAAAAGATTAGACAAATGGGTTCTCCAACTTCATCATGTTTTATGGTGTGTTGTATACTCTTATCAATTTGTATCATCCTTAATCTTTCATATGAAATACAGGCCAGAAAGCTATCACCCTTACTAACAAATCCTCCAGTTAAATTTCTCGAAGAAAATTATGGAAAAATTATCATTAATGACCAAGCACAAGCCTATAGAAATACTGCCCATGCATTGGTCGATGATGATCTCAATAAAGATTCTGTTGTGCATGAGATCCACACTATGCAGCATGATTTTTACGCCATTGGGAATGCAGCAATGTTAAGGGCTTTTGGTTCAATGTATATGTAAATTTGATATACAATTGTGTGATAGTATGTGAGATGAATTTGGCAAAGTCTTAATTGTTTTAGTGCATTTGCATTAAAAGTTGTATTAGAAAATTACAATAGATGCTAATTACATATATGGTCACTTAGTTAATCTGTTTTATTCATAGTTATCATCTGAATAATTTTCTTTTCATATTGGTCATTCACTCTACCGTTTCAACATTTGTCACTAACTATCTATTTCGTTGAAATTTTTCTCTGTGGCATCCAACTGCAAGCTTTGACCGTTAAGTTGATGAGCAAAAATTAAAATTAATAAATTAATAAAAAATCAATATTAAATTTCTTGAATGAAAAAAAATTGGAAAATGACCCTCGCCCAAGTATCATCTAATCCCTCTTCGACTTTGACCTCACTCCTATCCAAAACGAGTCCCAGCAATGACAATTCCTTTGTGTCCAATTTCCTTTTGAATAGAATTTGAGAAAGAACTAAATATTTTATAGATTCGTCAAAATAATACAAAAAAGAGTCTTTGACCAAGCAATCATAATTCATAACTAGGAAATCAAATCAACAATGTTAAGATTATGCAATGTACTATGCATGTACAACATTGAGCAACGGGAAACAAGTACTTGAGTATATTCATTTCCGTCTCGTTTTTTAGGGTTACGATTATTTAAATATTCACAATTTTTTCCGGGTACACAAATACTCAATTATCCAAATCATCGCTTGTGATCAATATTAATAGAGAAAACTACCCTTCTATACCAAGCTTGTGAGTTTTGTATCGATTGAATAGTCCCTTCAATCGTGTTCGTGAAACTGCCATTTTATACCATACGAGCTTTCCCCAAGTGTGGAATTGTCGGTTGGTTCCATTTTATCCCAAATTTGTATTAAGAACGCGTTGCTCTTGATTCGAGTTCAATCAATCTTCGGATTGATTGTTTGCTGCATTACTTTGATAAAAATACACCCCTGGGTCATATGAATATGTCTTCTCATAGCGGATTCATTGATGAAAAAGTTTGTTTCTCCGCACCTAAGCAGGTTCATTATAGGCCGCCAAACAATGGAAAACATTATCATCGTCCAGGAGGTGCAACACTCTCTCAGTGGCTTGAGGTGATTGGTCATTGATTTTATGATGGCTTTGAGGTACACATTGTTCAAGCTTATATGCCATAATTGGGTCATAGACTATGGTTTCCTTGATGGCATGTGGCAAATGTCTTCATTAAAAGAATTCCACAAATATTTTCATCACCATCTTGCCCAGTGTTTGCCAATTATGTTGCTAGAAAATGGGATGGATCAACGTTTACGCACGAATCAATGACATTTATGTTGGGGTAGAGATAATACATTTGCTTTTCTTTCTATGTGGTCAGATGGAAGAACCAAACGTTAAGGTTTCAAGAGGAGAAGCTACAACAACGGTTGCACTGGTGGAAAATTAGAGTTTTTTCATTTATATCAAAGAA